CTTGCCTCGTCTTGGCTTGGCTTGGCTGCAGCTTTATTGATTTTGCCCGAGCAAATATTCGCCTCGATTTTGGAGTATTTGCATTTGGGCCAGCGGGCACTCGCACTGCTCCTCCTCCTGCTCCTGCTGCTGTTCCTTCTCGTGTGCCATAATCACGCCTGATTAGTTTTCATTTCTTGGTCTCAGCCATCAAATATTTACCAAATTGATTATCATTTAATTATAATAAAGCATAATGTGAAATGCAATTGCAATTGCCTGTCATCTGAGGGGACAGCAGCTGTGTGTGTGTGTAGAGTATCAATGTCGACATCTCTCTGCATATGTGTATGTGTGTGCGTGTGTGTGTGTGTGTGTGTACGTGCAATTATGATGGCTGGCCCTGGCCGCAATTGTGTGTTGCATACTTTGAGGCACATTTCCTTGCCGGCTAACGGCACTTGCACAGCCTCGTCTCCTCTCCTCTGCGTGCGTGTGTGTGTGCACATGGCATCAAATTACAAATGATGTCGTGCCCGAGGGAGCGAGCGGGCCTGCCGCAGCGTCGCTTGACAGCAGGCCTCTTGCTCTGTGGCAAACCAACGGAAGTAGAAACAGATGCAAATGGCAGTTAGGAATGAGTGTATATTCATGTAGTTATCTACGAGTGTGTGAGTGTGTGTGTGTGAGTGTGAGTGTGAGTGTGACCATGCCTGGCTACATGAAAAACAAAACATGCCACTAATGCTGTACGCAGCCCATTCAGACACACACACACACACACACTCGCACACACACGCACACATGAACAATTGACACTGGCTAATTGCACTGGAAAATTCGCTAAATGCAAGCATAAACACGTTGCCAACTTCATACTGTTACCAGAGACATAAAGAACAAGTTCTGTCCATGGAGTCGAACGGAGGGTATAGAATATATATAATGACTAGGAGTATTTTTTAATACATATTTGTATCCCTGAACCCAGGGAACTCATTGAATATTAGAAATCTGAATATACAAATTTCCTTTATTGTAATAATCATGGCAGAGCCCTTAAAGTATATATAAGGAGTTGATACAGTCTTGTCTATATCTGTCCGGTCATCGTTTCTTCCATCCGTCCACCAATCCGCCCACCCATTCGTCCATCTACCTCTCCGTTCGTCTGTTCGTATGTATAAACACTTCAGATCTAGTGACTTGAAATGGCTTACGCAGAGCTAGTTATTTTTATCGATCATTATGTTTATCGATAACTATTTCTGCTCTAGTGATATCCATTAAAAATCATTTTAGATATTTTTACCGATAACTATTTCTGTTCTGGTGCTATCCATTAAAAATCATTTTGCAATACAGCAAATTTATCATTTATCTAATATATATTGCATATATATATTTTCTTTAATGTGTATTTGATACAATATTTACGTTAGCTATATTTTAGACACCAGCCCAAAATCCAGCACCTTTCAGACAGACTTTCGAAAGGAATTTATCAAATAGTACAGACTTGTGATATGACAAATGATTATGTTTACTGATCATTTTATTAGGCTAAGGAGTGATTTAGCTTTTT